GAGAGAGAGAGAGAGAGAGAGAGAGAGAGAGAGAGAGAGAGAGAGAGAGAGAGATCAAAGAACAGAGAGATATGTCAGGATGGACGCGATCGGGCGATTCGGCGGCCGTGTCTTCAAGCCGCGGTTGGGGCCGGGGACGGGGCGGGGCCGCCACCGCCGGCCCCACTGCAGCCGGACCTTTCTACGGCCACGGTGTGGTCGGCACTGCACCGCCGTTGGCGGACCTGCCGTGCATGGCGGTGGTAGTGGGGGGACTCGAGGGCAGCGACCCAAAAGTACATGCCGATCGCGTCCTGTTTCCTACCGGAGAGTCGGGTGGCAAGCCTCCCAGCTGCTCAGAGGTGGGCGTACTGGCGTACGAGCTGGCAACGAAGGTTGCTCCACTGCCGGGACTCTCGTCATACGTACACACTCCGGACCAAGATATAGACGTCAAGCGCGGGGAACGGGCGTCTGCCGTCCCCCGCTTCATGTCTAGATCTTGCTCCATAGCTTGCACGTATGACGAGAGCCCCGGCAGAGGCGCAGCCTACGTTACCAGCTCGCATACCAGTAAGCCCACCTCTGAGCAGCAGGGAGGCTCCCCACCGACCCCCCGGAAGGAAACAGGCTCATTTTTGCAATGCACTCGTTTCGGGCTTGGGTTCGGCGTGTCTAGGATGGAGGGATTGTCGGGCGGCTCATATAGCCAAAAGACGATATATAGAGGGCGGCGAACGAAGTTTGGGTATAGGTGCTGTGACGGAACAGGAGGCCTCAACCAAATAATTCCAATTTGTTGTCGAAGTGATCCCTAATTGACAACGAGAAAACACTAGAAAAATCTGCAGCCCACAGAAGGGACGAGTTTCGGCACGAATCTATCCCCAGCTGCAGGCCCCCAAATTTACTGAATAATGATCGAGCTTGTCGATCTTCCTTGTTTTCCCCCCAAAAGCGTGGAAAAGGTGGGGAGAGAGTAATCAAAGACAGAGGCCATCCCATCACCCAGCTTGCATCATTTTCCACTGTTATATCATTTTCTGGGGTGATGCCGCGCTGGTGCGATCAGCGCGGCACCATATCAGAAAGCGCGGTCCTCCTGGCGGGACAGGAGGCCTCATCCAAACAAATCCAATTCTTTTTACAAGCTATCCAAACGTGGAGACGAGAATACAAAAGACATGACCATGCACACACACCAACACGCTGACCCTTCAAACCACAAACCCCTTGGACATAAACCGTAAAGACTCCCACACATCTGCGTTTATATCTCGAACAGTGGTAATGCTGTGATTGTACGAAAATCTTTAAAATACCTGGTCCCCCACCAGCCCGCG